CATGAGAAGCCCAATCCGCACATCTTTGGCGCGGAAGTTATTCGAAAATTCCTATATAAACTCTATAATATGGTCAGGCTTGGGTAACCCATTAGGTTTGATCTTCGACCCTAGCCCGATTGGGGCCATCCTGTGATCATCTCCACTCGCCACTCTCCGCCCATTGTTGTAAAGGGCGACAATCTACCACTCGCTGTCGCAGAGGTAGCAGAGGGATTGTTGAACCTTGCGTCGGTGAATAAGGGTCACCAGACCCTTTTCTGGAGAAAGCAAGGGGTCCCAACGCTCCACCACCGTCATGGGGATCGTGGGACTCCCAACCACTAAGGCGGGGTCTCACGACCCTCATCCACAAAGGCGGGAGTTCACTCGGTGCACCCCGGTGACGGTGGAGGGTCACGCCACCCTCCGCCTAAGAAAGGCCGAGGGTCGCATAACCCTGCCATTTCTCTAGCATACGGTAAGGCGACCCTCCGCCGATGTAGGAAGGGTCATCCAACCCTTCTTCTCACCGTCACAAGGGGCCCGTCGGCAGAGAAGATTGCTAAAGCGAACAGCACTATCGTTGTCTTTCTCTTTGGAGCTTCAATTTGAAAAAAAAGCTTCAATTTTCCTTTTTCAAATTTATGAGGTACTAATACTACGCTAAGTTGTGCATAGGATGACGTGGATGCCATATTAGCACCTTGGTATTTCAATGACCCGATTTATCCGGTTGACAGACCTACTTGGTATTCATGTTAACTAGTAATCACATTACTTTCTCATTATTGGATTTCTAAAACGCAACAAGGTTTTTGAGTTTCTTAGCCAAAACCCAGGGGGTGTCCAAGTAATTTACCCTTTTTTCATAAAAAAAAAAAAGGTAAGATAATTTTCGGATAAAGCCTTTTAATCTCTCTTACATTCAAAATCTAAATTAAAATCTTTGACATATTAGGGTTCATTTGTTTCAGAAAAAGTGTTTTCTGAGAATCCGTTTTCCAGACTTTCACCCGTTTGGTTCGTCGAAAATAATTAGTCAACCTAAAATACTTTCCGGTCAAGGAAAACATTCATGTATAAAATTAGGAAAGTGAATTCCCTAATCTAAGAAGGTGAAAACACTTTCCGGAATTGCTTCCCTTTACTTTTTTAATATTTTATTCTTTTATTTCTTTTTAAAAATTAAAATATTTAAAAATTCAATTTTTTTTTTACCTGAGATAAAATCATGGGATTGAAATCATTTTCCAAATGAGATCCAAACACAAGAAAATGTTTTCGATCACATATTATCAAACAAAGGAAAACTAACTATTTTTCTGAAAAAAGATTTTCCGGAAAACATTTGCCAAAAACGTTACATTTTCCGTGAAACAAACGCATCCTTAGGTTTCATTTGTTTTGCGGAAAATATTTTCCTCATTTTTCAATGTTTGGTTCGCTTGAGAAAATGAGTCAACGGAAAATATTTTCCTAGTTAATAAGAAAAATCTATATTTAAATTCAGGAAAATAACTCAAAAGCTATGAGACCTACGTGCTAGCCAATTGCGCCACCACCCCATTAACGCTTGAGCCTAAAACTCTACACTTGGACATGGAAACCCTAACTCTGGTTCTCGAGTTCTAGTGTTCAAAACCATGGTTTTCGGTGCTCGAGCCTGTGACCTTGGTGCCTGTGCCTGGATTTCAGGCACCCTTGCCCTGGTCCAGCGAGGTAGAGCCAAGGACCCTAGTGCCCGTGCTAGAGTTCTCGGCGTCTACACTCGAATCCGTCGAGGTTGAGCTCGAGCTCGGAGCCCCATCACCGGGGCCAAATCCATAAAGGGCGAGTGCGGGATCTTGGTACTCAAGCTCGGATCCCCAACACCCGGGCCCGGGTCTACAAAAGTTCTGCTTGGGTCCATCGAGGTCGGGTCCAGGACCTCGGTGCCTGTGCTCGGGTCTATTGAGGTCAGGTCCGGGATTTTGGTGCCCGGGCTCGGGTCCATCAAGGCCGGGCTTGGGACCCAAGTGCTCGTGCCCTAATCCTGGCGCCCCGGTCAAGGTCCATTGCGGCTAGACCTGGACTCTAGTGCTTTTACTCGGTTCCTCAACTGCTCGTGCATATGTTATTAGCGCCTGAATAGTGTATGTCAATTTAGGAAAATCAAATTTTCCATACCACCAGTTCATTTTCAGGTTTAAGCCAAACACAAAAAAATATTATCATTTTCATCTTTCTAGAAAATATTTTTCAAAAAATGTCACATTTTTCACGAAACAAATAGAGCCTTAATTCTTGTAAATTCATTTCCTCAAGCCTCTCTAATCCTTTGTACATTCAAAACACTTTTGTTTTTGTACCAATCACCCATTCAAAATCTCATTTGGTTTTTTCCGCACGGACAGACGGTATTCATAACCACCTAATACAATCGCGTCGAATGTTATTAATTTCCTTAAATATTCAAAACGATAATGATTCTTACTAGATTTTGATTTAGGCGAATGAAACTAACAGAATCTGAAAATCTCTCCCTTAATATGCAAGCTTACTATTGTTTTGAAATTTCACATTAATGCGAATCTTTTTGGTAACACTGGATTCGTCAATCTTCTCGGCTCTCGATGAGCGGTCTTTGAAGGGATGGAGGGCGTAAATTTACATCCCAAATTAAGAGTATATTAATTTTGGTCGATATTTCTTCGATTTCCGCTAATATTTGGATAAGAAACTCTTTATTAGTCGGATTCTGGGAAATGGATCAAAAAATTCCCAATCACGGTCCGTCGCGGATCGGATGATTAAGGATAAAGAGAATATTAAGAAGAAAACAAAAGGCTTTTTTAGATCTGGATCTATTTTATGTTAACTTCCTCTTTTGCACAAAAAGGTCACCATAAAGGAAAGTAAAAACAAAAAAAAATTATGAAAAATCCATGTCAGCACGCGTAATTTTCTGGCCAATATATATATATACATGCGTAATTTTCTGGCCAATATATATATATATATATATATATATATATATATATATACACATATATATATATATATATACATATTTTGAAAGATCTTAGACAGTTTGTACGATATTTTAAAGTCGAGAATCGCAATATTTTAAAATAAAAGTTCAAAAAAACATATTGCTTGACAACTTTTGTGTATCTATCTATCTTTTTTGTTTTTCCGAATCTATCTTCCACACTTTATCCTTTTTTTTATAATGACATAAATGATCAATGAACTTTGACCCAATATACAATGTGGTCTATCAACTTTTAATTTGTTCAATTTCTTTATGTACAATGCGATCCGTAAACTTTTAATTTGTTCAATGTGATCCTTGAACTTTTTGTACATGTTTAATTTGGTCATTGGACTGTATAAAAACGTTCAATATTATCATTCCTTTAATTCAAGTTTAGGGATAATATTGAATATTTTCATATACATTGACATGTACCAAAAATCAGGGAACCACATCGAACAATTTCAAAGTTGGAAGCATAACTTCCAACTTTGATCTGGAAAGGAGGTATTAGCAAGCATAACTACATCGAATAAATTACAAATTTAGAGCGACCACGTTAAGTAAATTATCACGTTGGAAGTGCCAGAGTTAAAGTTCAAGGACCATCTATTCTTCCAAAGGCACTGGACCTAAGCAATTGGCGCACTCTATTCTTGCACAATACGGAATCTCGACGCCTTGTAGAAGGATGGAATGATGAACTTAAATGGATGATCAAGGCTACAAAAGGTAAGGACTTGGCGGCGAGACTTCGAAGGTATCTTTCCTAACGATCATATCTTCGCATTGGGATGGAGCGTAATCGTAGACGCTTCCAACAAAAGTCAAATGACGCCTTATCATTTTGGCTAAAGTTCGCAAACTTGTCGTAGGCGAGCTTCGCACTACAAATCTTTTAGACCGTCCCGAACAAATGAAACTTTGGCTACTATATGGAGACTCCCCCTGTAACGACCCGGTCCGACGAGGGCGGGGAGTGGTCGCCGGGGCCAGAGGGCCTGGACAAGGAGCGGCTCCTGGCAGGCTTCTAGGATGGCAAGGGGAGCATGTCTCTTGTACCACATCGCTAGTGGGGAATCACGGGCTAGTTTATAAGGCTTGGGTTCTCTATTCTCGTGTAACGCGTTTTAAAGAAGTGAGGGTCAGTGCCCAAAGCGGACAATATTACACATAAGTGTAGACCCCGAGGTCCTTACAAATGGTATCGGGAGTCGACTCCCAGATCACAGCGTGTGGGGCAGCGCGGCGGTGGACAACCGTGCTCGAAGGATGGGAGAATGTAACGACCTGGTCCGACGAGGGTGTGAGGCCACAGCAAGGACGCTATGGAGGCCACAGCAAGGACGCTATGCTCGAAGGAGGGGAGAATGTAACGAACCGGTCCGACGAGGGCGGGGAGTGGTCGCCGGGTCCAGAGGGCCTGGACAAGGAGCGGCTCCTGGTAGGCTTCTAGGATGGCAAGGGGGGCATGTCTCTTGTCCCACATCGCTTAGGGGGAAGTCCTGGGCTAGTTTATAAGGCTTGGGTTCTCTATTCTGTGTAACGCGTTTTAAAGCCGTGAGGGTCAGTGGGCCCAAAGCGGACAATATTACACAGTGTAGACCCTGGGTCCTTACACCCCCACTCCATTTTTTTGTAATCTTAGTTCTATTTGTAATGCTGGGGAATGCCCCTAAGCTTCTGTACGTCATCTTATAAATACTACTTACATTTACACCAAAAAAAAAAAAAAATTTCAAAATTCAGGGATGACATTATACATTGGGTTAATGTTTAAGGACCATATCGAACAAATTAAAAGTTCAAGCATCACATTGCATACTCGGTTAAAGTTTAGGGATCATTTGTATCATTTTCGCTTTTTTTTTTCAAGTTCGAAATCTTCCACCTTTTATAAAATTCACGATTTTCGCGTTAAAATAGAAAAAAAAAAACCGAAAAAAAAAAAAAAAAATCGCCGGAAACGGGAAAATCAATCAGCGTCGCGCCACTTCTCTCTCACTCTCCGCTTCTGCAGCGAATCTCGCAGCCCTAGAAGAAGCTGTTACACTCACGGCAGCGGACCAACACCGGCTTCCTTTCTCCGATGGACTCCATCGTCAAGCGTGAGCCTGACGAGTTCGCACGGACGCGGAGCGACCGAAGGCCGATCATCACGCCGATTTACATCACCAGCAGCGGCGACGACGGCGACGGCGACGGCGACGACAGCGGATGCAGCGATCGCAGCACCGGCGACGGCCGGTGCACACGAGCCACCGCTCCGGAGCACCGGAAGACGAGGAGCCTGAAGGAGATAGACCGTGACTTGGCGCTGAAGAAACCGAAGCTTGACGAGGAAGCCGTCCACGTCGCGGTCCCGGTCGATTTCCTCGCTCCGCTGCCGCCGTGCTCGCCCGTGGAGGTTGCCGATGGCGACCGGGCGGCTCGGGCTCGTGCCAACCGCAGGCAGTTCTGGAAGGCTGGGGATTACGAGGGGGAGAGCAATCGCGACGTCCTTGCTTCTCGCGATGGTACGCATTGTGTCTTCCGTACTTGCCACTTCGCTAACGAAATAGTATTTGCTTGCATGGACAGTGTCTTTCAAAGAGGCTAGAAATACTTCCAGAGGCAATTTGCTGTCCTGTAGTTTCTTGTAAACGTGCATTGTCGTCCTGTTTCATTGGTGCGCTGTGGAAAAAGTAGTTTCTATTTCTTACATTTTTCTCGATCCTGAGCTTCGTTTCTTCCTCGTCAAGATACGAAATGCAAAACGGGCGGTTGTCTGACAATTTATAGTATGTCGATGTCGACAGCCATAGGTCTTGAGTTTGATTTCTTCTAAGCATGTTACTTGGCGTATGTCGACTGCAATTGCTTGTCTAACTGACCAATCTGTCTTCGTGTCTCTTACAATTTTGTGCGCTTCAGTTGGCATGGATCGTGTCAGAGTCCATCCCAAGTTTCTCCATTCCAATGCAACCAGCCATAAATGGGCTCTAGGAGGTATCCTTCTCTGATTAGCTAGACGCTGGAGTTTTAGTCCTTTAGAGCTTTTTGTTTGTTTGCCATAACTCCAAGAGAAAGAGTCGGCTTCGTGTGTAAGGTGGAGCAATCTTACTTTCTAGCATTTTGATTTGCGGCTTTTGCGGAGCTTCTTGACAACGCTTTAGATGAGGTGACGATCTAAATCTTGTAAATCTGTGCATCTGTTCATGGTGGACATTTCCTTATTATGATAATGGTAGGTTTGCAATGGAGCCACTTATGTTCACATCGATTTGTTGGAAAATAAAAGGAAGAATTTGACAGTCTTGGTGATTGAAGGTACTCCCCTTAAACACCCCCCCCCCCCCCCGGCCCCTCTCTCTCTGTGTGCAAGAGCGCGCACTCACCCACCCACCCACACGCAACACATGCTATGATATTTGTGATTTGTTTCACCATTCTTGCATTGCAACTCCCTGAAAATAGGCCTGTGAAATATTTTTGCAGCATAACCTTCATTTGCTTGCAAGAGGCAGCATTGTGTGTATTATGTTTGTAACCATCTAATGATCTTAGAGAACAGATGATTTCATGTTATTAATTCTTTCATGATGACATTGTTGGAGAATCAATCCTGATTGAATTTACCCAGATCGTAACGAATGCATTTGCTGACTCATTAACTGCAGATAATGGTGGAGGGATGACTCCTGACAAAATGAGGCAGTGCATGTCTCTTGGATATTCTGCCAAAAGCAAAGCTGCAAACACGATTGGTCAATGTGAGCTCTGCTTTTCATTTTGTTTTGTTTGTGGCAAAAGGTTGTATTTTATTTTCCTGTTTCTGTCTTCAGAAAGACAATAGTTACATAAGGGTTTTATTCTTATGCACCTCCTTTTTCTTTCCTTCTTTATAGATGGAAATGGGTTCAAGACGAGTACCATGAGGCTGGGAGCAGATGTGATTGTCTTCTCACGTAGTGGGAAATTCAGAGGAATGAGGTGTTTGTCTTCAGTTTGGCATGGAAACTTAATTTCAGGGCTTGTTTTTGCTCCCTTGCTGATTGACTGTCGTTAAAAGCTCTGCTATATATTTGGTTAAATGGAAATTCTGAAAGCAACTTGAATTATTTCTGCTATTTACTGAAGATTAGCATAGAATATTATGCTATAAAGTGCTTTGATAACCGAAAACATATTATTCCTTTCAGCGCATCACAAAGCATTGGAATGTTGTCCTACACATTTCTAAGGGCAACTGGGAAGGAAGATATAATTGTTCCTATTGTAAGTATATTAAACTTTCATCCCAATTTAGTCTTTGATGTGTCCCTCAACTCTTTTCACGAGCAACTTTTTATAGCAAAATGGCACTATGAGAGAGCCAACCCATGTAACTGATTAGTAGGTACATCTCATACTGTCAATAAGGTCTATCAAAGACTGTAGCCAGTAAAGAAACTCTCATGCCACCAAAAGTTTAAAGTGGGTACAAATCTATTTCCTTAAACCAAATAGGTGTTATCTCTATTTTAAAGGACTCCTATGCCAGTTTTTCCATTTTTATCTTTACTAGTTTCTGTTGGGATGAAAAAGGCCTTGTCAAGGATTGGATGTGTTTGCACAGATCTTTTTCACCAACTTTTGCTCAGTTGTTATGAATTTTATCCTCTATTCTCTGTTTATAGCTGTATGTTGCATACTCAAGGAAACTCAAATTTCAACAATGACGTGTAATGACAATGAGAGAAACTATTTAAGATGTTCTCTAGATTGCAGGGTCCAGATATTCACATAGTACGATAGAATGCTGTTGATAGATATTATAGCCCTACATCCTGTTGTCATCTTCTTAATGGTATAAGCAATCTTAGGTCTATTACTACAGATTGCTAACAATAATACTTTATCTTCAGTATATGTATGAAGTGTGGTAATTCTGAACTCCCAAATGTTTAAGAAGCTATAAGTTTTGATTGCTTGTGAGATGGTATTGGTTGGTTGATTTGGGTGATTACAGGAAAAGATGCCTTGTGTTTATTGTATCAATGTCTACTACTTCAAAAGAATATAAGACACAAGCACTTTCCGTCTAATATTGTTGACCAATTTCTATAAAATCTTTGTGATGACTTGTGTGTCATCGGAAATTGTAAGGTTGATTATGAGAAAAAGGGACAAGAATGGGGCAAGATACTCAGATCTTCTACAGATGATTGGAATAGAAACTTTGGAACCATTTTGCATTGGTCACCATTTGAAAGTGAGGAAGAACTTCTTCAGCAGGTAATTTGGTGTTGTAAGGATTTCTCACTGATTTGTCCTTATTATTGTTCCGCATTACACTTTGCTTCTATTTTGACAAAGGAATGACATTTTCTGACGCGTATTATCTATGAAAAAAAGAGGATAAGTTCTTTCACATCCCATGATCCTCCTGGTCTTCCTATTCTATTGAGGTCATTTTGATTTATTGCTTTTCTTATTGTGTTTGAATTTGGCTTTGACGATTGATTTAATTATATTATAAATTTGACTAGGCAGACCAAGTTTTCCACCGGCATTATGGTATAAAAGAGTTCCATGGAAGATTGCTTGCTGGCTGGAATTGGTTATAGATCTCTATTACTTACTCATGCTATTGCCCTGCAGTTCAATTCGTTACAAAATCAAGGTACACGCATAATGATATATAATCTCTGGGAAGATGATGACGGACAGCTGGAACTCAATTTTGATACCGATCCCCATGTATGCCTTAAGCACCTTTACTTTCTTATGGCAAGTTTAACTTTAACCCTTACAATAGAAAGGTGGAATACTGCTTGGTGAGTTTCTAAGTTGATGAATTTCACGTGTGAATTTGCAGGATATTCAAATCAGGGGAGTAAATCTGGAAGAGAAGAAAATAAAGATGGCTAAACAGTTTCCTAACTCAAGACATTTTCTGACTTATCGACATTCGTTGAGGGTACATGTCATGTGCTCAATCCAAACACTGTAATTTTTAGATATATGCGGTAGTATCAGTAAGTTTTGTTGAATGGAGGATCTCATCGTGTTCTCACTTCTGTTTTGATAAAAAATGTCAGTTCTTTTTTCTTGAAAAACAATCTCCGTCTTCTGTCTTGCAAAGCAGTACCACCTTACCAGTAATTTCCATAAGCTTACTTGATCCATTGGTAGGCTGATCTGGCTTCTTCTATAGAAAGTTTTATTACACTTCAGCTCTTCAGAGATGAGAAAGATTCTAATATGTGCATCAAGAGGGTTTTTTCTGCTTCTTGCCGGGAAGATATCCTGACAATTAGTATATCTGCTAAGCATTTGGTCAAGTTTTGTTTCTACTAATATTTGTGTTGTGCGTATGGATGGACACACAAATGCATGTGCTAGCTCACTGTGTTGCGTATATTTGACTTTCATTATAATACTTTTAAAGTGCTGTCTGGACTGGATGTTATCTGAAATGTCTGTTTATGTCTAAAATTTACATAGATTGATAAAAATCTGTGAATCTGGCACAAATGCCAGCAAAGCACCATGTATTACAGCTATCTATGTCATTCTTGAATGATACTTAGGTTTGGATGGCGGCCATCCTAAACAAAAAAGAATTTGTACTAAGTTGTATGTTACACAGCAAAATTTGGAAAAATGGTCATGTATTCATTTGGTGGGGTTTGCACATATTAATCGGATATTCGGATGTTAAATTTGTATGATGGTCATTACTTATGTTTCCCTTTTCATATTGCCAGAGTTATGCATCAATCCTCTATCTCAGGCTGCCACCTGATTTCAGGATTATTTTGCGTGGGGAAGATGTTAAACACCACAACCTTGTGAAGGACATGATGCTGAGCCAGAAGATAACATACAAGCCTTCAAATGTTGCTGAGAGTGCGCATAACGATTCAAATGTAATGTTATTTGCTTTGACCTGCCGGATGGCTTTAATTTTGGATCATATTAACATGTTTTATTTTTCAACAGATGGTTGCCAATGTGACCATTGGCTTTGTGAAGGATGCTTCCTTTCACATCGATGTTCAAGGTTTCAATGTTTACCATAAGAATCGACTTATTAAGGTTTGTCTTAAAATTCTGTTGAAAATTTTTCCCTTTGTTTCATTGTACCTAATACGAATCAATTATCGAAGTTGAGAGATTGAGGGCCTAGATTTGTATCAAATTTTTGTTCGAATAAATACAGATATGAGTCTGAGGGCCTGATTTTTTTTTTTTTGAGCGGTTGATTTGATTAGGTGCTTGATCTATGATATAGGATGCGTTCGTATCGTAGAAAATGAGTGATTTGGAAAATATTTTTCGAAAAATAATCACTTATATCGCTTATAAAAACAAATAAATGGAAAAAATTTTCATCGCCCATGAAAATAGTTAGGCATAAATTGTTATCGATGATAGAAACATTGTCCATTGATTAATTTTATAAACGAAACAAGCAATTATTTTTCAGAAAATGTTTTCCAAATCGCTCATTTTCTGCAAAACGAACACACCCTTAGTTTTGAAAGTTTTCTACTGTATTTTAACCTGCGATACCCATGAAGAGAAATGCTATATCAACTATCCTTCTTACATGGATTTATTTCACTTAAAATTTTTATCAATGACGGTTTTTCCTGAGTGCTGGTTATATGTCTTTTATATTGCAGTTGATGTTGTAGGTTTTACAGTTCCTGATTCATAATACATCTTTATTTTCTCGAGTGTCATGATTTCCTACTTGCACTCTGTTCTTCTTTTTAACTGTTTAAACAGTAGTAACTCTTAAAACACTCGTGCATGAAATTGGAAATTAACTACTCTTTTTTGAGTCGTTGAGAGAGAAAGTACAATGGAGGGTAGATTCATATTATTAAGTTCTCCTGTGCTTGTTTTCTGTTCTCTGGACTTCCTTTAGTCATGTCCCTGTCCTGTTTGTCAGCCCTTCTGGAGGGTTTGGAATGCTTCTGGAAGTGACGGCCGCGGGGTTATAGGTAAGATTCTTCCCCTGAAAGGATTAGATTGATTGTACTTTCCTTGGGGGGGAAGAATTAGACGGATGCTCTTGATTTCGCATGGCAATAATAGCTCTTGGAAGGAGTGGTTTTTCAACCTTGCTCTACATATGTTTCTTTCCATGACAGGTGTATTGGAAGCGAACTTCATTGAACCTGCTCATGACAAACAAGACTTTGAGCGCACAATAGTGCTTTCAAGACTAGAGGCACGCCTGGTGGTGATGCAGAGAAATTACTGGTCTGTTTTACATTTCTCCTGGGTCTATAATGTGTTTTAGGGCTATTTTGTTGAATCTTGCATGGTCTTTTATCCACATCAAATGTTCGTAGCTTGATCATGTGTATTCCCCTCTCTTTTGGGGGCTAGGAAGGTAATTACCAATTAACAAATTGCTGTTAAATCATTTATCAGGAACACAAATTGCCATCATATTGGTTATGCAGCAACGCGACCATCAAAGAAACCAGTTTCTTCCCAAACAGAAGGCTCTAATAAAAGTAAATCATGTTCCTCGTCTGTAGGGAAGGGGAGTGGAGTAATCAGTCCATGTTCTAGGTTGAAGCAGAATGTGAAGCAGGAGGAGGCATCTATGGATTTGGATGAATCAAGTGAGGATAGAAGTTCTTACAAGGTTTCCCGAGCTAATGTTAATGGCCAAAAATCTTCGGCATGTAATTTCAAAATTGGTCCCTTGGGAAGAGCTTCACAAACAACGGTAGATTCTCAGTTTTACAGTCTCACACTACTTTCCATAATTACCTGTTCAGGAAACTTGATGCTTCTTGCTGCTTATAAATATGTACACATCATAAAAATTTTCATAAGCATAGAGAGTATCTAGTTTTCCGAGGCTTTTTTTTTTTTTTGTGGCTGACTTTTCATGGATGACAACGATGGTCTCTATTCTGTTATTTACTTGAATAAATTGCCATCAGATTTTCAATCTCAATGTGAGTCCACATTTCCTGGTGTAGCGAGATTGGTGCTGAGGTCTTGGTTCCTTGCGAGCAGGCATTTTTACCCACTTGTCTCTTTAAAATTTTTCATGTTTCTTGTTCACTCCACAGGATGGTATCAGAAACAGCGATGCTCGTGTTTCTGCTTGCCAAACAGACATGTTAGTCAGGTTGAAAGAAGAGAACCGGGATTTAAAGCAAAGGTAAAAGAAGTGTTATTTGAAACTCCTTTTTTCACGCCTTTAGAAGTCGCTACTAATTAGGAATGTCAAATCATATTTCTACTATTCGTTCTTTGCAAGATTGAAAGAAAAAAGGGGATTGGATACAATCGATTTGCTGCACCAGTTGCAGGTGGAGAGAGACAGACGCAAATCACTTGAAACAAAAGTAGGTGGAAAATAATAGTCATATGTTAATCAGTATCATCCAGTGAATTGCAATGCCTTGCTCACAGATTGCAGATGTTAACAATGGACACTGCCTGTACACGTGCTTTTCTGTTCTTTCTTCTTTTTAGTTTCTCAATACAAGTAGTCGTATATCTGCTTGATTAATCTTAAGAGTGGCGGTTTGCATTCTTTTTGGGTGCAATACAGCTTCAGGAAAGAGGAAAAAAAATAGTAGAGGTAGACAAGGAGCAAACGGCACTAATAAACATCCTTGTGGAGGAAAGGATCCAGGGAGAACGGGTGGAGGACGAACTCAGGGAGGAATTGACGGTCCGTACACGCTTTTCCTATCGTTATAATTGGTCAAATATCATTCTTTTTTGCTTAGTCGTATCATCCATTTCACACAGGCTTCATCTAGTACGATTGATCAACTGCTCCATAGGGTAAGGCAGTTACGAGACATGAAGGTCTTGATTGGCAAAGTCGAACGCTGAAGCACAGATTACAGGCGAGAAGCTCGTTGGATTCGACGATGACATAGTATGAGCTCTTGCTTATGGAAGGATTTCCGACAACCGTGAAATCGCAGGACCATACATCCATTAATTTCATGAGTAAGGCTTCAAGTTTATCTGATGGACAGAGGTATATATTAGTTTTTGTTCAGTCCTGTAGTCAGTGTTTCTCCAAGTACATTACAATCAAAACAAGGTTAGACGGAGGTTATACTTATACAAACGTGAGCCCCAAAAGTGGTCATGTCGGAGTGTATTCCTGTCGTGGTAATGCGATCCCGGACGGTATCTCCCGACAAATATGACCCGACACAAACGGACTAAACACAGTCAGATCCGTAACACGTGCTCAAAACTTCTCCTTACATTGCCATTATCAAAATGTCAATTGAACTTTTACATCATCCCAAGTAATAATTGTCAAGAACGTACCAAAAAATTGCATCGACCCGACTCCGTCATCTTGCCAGAAAACAATAATCAGTGATTATTAGTTATCTAACAAAAAGTCCCATGATATCTCTCCACAGAGGAATCATCATCCTCGCGGTTGATCGCCACTCCCTCACCATATGAAAGTCACGTCCTTCTCCTTCCCATTGACGTGGGGTTGCCATCAAACAACTCATCGACGAGAGATTCAATGTCCTCGGGCTGATACTTGATGTACTTCTCGCTCTGCCTCCCCGGGTCCAAGTACTGGTTGAACCGGCCAAGGAACGACCGGTACGCTGGTGTGATGACTGCGGAGATTGAGACCCTAAGCTCGGACTGCAGTTGCTCGTCGTTCACTACCCACGTGGTCTGCGTCTTGTGGATGTCGTCGAACATGGCGTTGAAGCTCTTGAACCGCTCCTTGAGCACCGGCTTCGACACCTTCCCGTTCACCTGCAGGCCCTCGTGGTTCAGGCACTGTAGCAGCCGGTACCATGTCTCGCGCTGGTAGTTCTTGTGGTACTGCCTCAGGTCCGACGACCTCCTCCGGCACCATGTGTCCCCCATCAGCTCATGTATCTTGCTGGACCCCTTGATCTTCTGCACGATATACCTCCCGTTGTTCATCAGGAATATGTACCTCAGCGATAGGTCCTTGTATAACTTCGATTTCATCTCCAGGTTCGCGTCCAGGAGCTCCATCACCGTCATCATCTGCACCGAAAACGGCGACGTTTTCGCGAACGAGGAGTCCGTATTGTCCATGGGTTCGCCGTCAGAGGTGTCGTCGACGGCCTTTTCGTGGTGTTGCTGAAACACCTGCTCCAGGGTGTCCTTGTACTCGCAGGCGTACTCGAGGTAATTCATTGTGTACCGAGTGAGGGGATGCACGGCGCCGCTCGGGACGGGGACCTTGCTGCTGTCGCTCTTGATCGAGCTCTCCAGCTGGCAGAATATGCTCACCGCCGCCTCCCCAATCCTTCCCTTCACCGCCCTCATCTCCGCCCTGACCTCCTCCTTCTTGGCATCATCTGAGTACTGCTTAGCCCCATCAACCGCCACGATCAGGTCTTGCAGTGTCTCGTACATGTCGAGGAACTTGAACAGCTTCTCCGCGGACCGGTTCGTCAGCACGACGGCCTCCGCAAAGTTGAGGAGCCGGATGGAGACGGAGCGGGCAAGGTTGCCGAACAGGCTCTGCACAATCTCTGGCTGGCCCAAGAACACCGAATCGCTGAGGGCGCCCTCGCGAGGTAAGAGGATGGTGCAGCATCGCTTGACAGCGGCGATCCAGGTGCCAATCTCTCTTTCCAGGGAATCCCACTGCATCCGCTGGACGTCGTCGATGCTGAGGACGTCGAGCCCTCCCTTGCTCAATGCTGACTTGAATGCCGTCCGCCTCATGATCATCCACAGCAAGCAGCACTCAGTCTTGTAGCCTGCAGAGATCATCACATCCGCGATCTTGCTCATGACAGAGATCTCTTCGGGCGAAAATGACGGAAACTCCTCCTCCGCTGAGGCGGGCTCGGGCTCGGGAAGGATGCACCGATCCGAATCGTGACCGCAATTATTGAACGATGACAAGTGCTTCGTCTTGGCAAATTTCTGATCTGAATCATCTCTTCCAGTCTTGGAGTCCTCGTCGAGGATGGCGCGAAACTCCTCCTCCAAAAATGACATCGCTCGCTGCAGCACGGAGCTGGTCCTGTTCAGAGAAGAAGAACACAGTGCATTCGCATTCTCACCGCTCGGCTTTAAATCCCCAATCTTGTCCACGATCTTCGAGAGCCGGCTCACCGAACCAAAGAAGCACGAGTCCTCCTCCAGGTCGTGGCCGAACCTGGACTTGCCCCCGTCCGACGCGTACTTATTGATCGCGGACTCGACATTCTTGGAAAGCAACTCGACCGCTCTCGGGATCTCAACAGAATCCGAATCCGCATTCAACTCCCCGTCGTCCCACGGCGAATCGGAATTACGTCTGAGGAACGCATCGATCTCTTCCCAGACCTGAGGGAGGGTCAAATCAGGCTCCACGGCATTAGAGTCCTCCACCGCCTCGTCCTCCTCGGCCGGTTCTTCAAGGACTTCGGGGCCCGTGTCCTCGACCGTCGGAGACTCGGGAGACGCCGCGACATCCTCGATCTCGTCGCCGTCGTTTCTCGCGAAGCTGCTGGATTTCTCGGGAGCCGGCGATCTCTCCATCGATGTGGATTGATGATGGTGACGATACAGATACAGGTGATGGCGATGGCGATGGGTATGGATGGTGGGGAACAAGAGATTTACCAGCTGGCGAAGGAGGAAAATGGAGGGGAGACCTGACAGATCATATCGGAATCATCACGGTACGAAATGTGGGAAATGTTACGAGATCGTTTCGTGATCTCTGCGCAGGTCTTGCATGGGGTGGGACGTGGGAGGAGGAGGCTATTTTTGGAGGGAAGGAGGAGGAGGAGGAGGAGCAGCAACGACGACGACGACGAAGTCCCTTCTCGTTTCCTTTCCTTTGTATTTTCGTGACTGGGATCGGCAGGAGTTAATGCAGGGGAGTGTGCCACGTGGCGGTCAATGGGCTCGGTCGTTGACCCTGATGGGAAGGTCAGCTTCATTATTCATCTGCATGCATGTTTCGCGTTGGTGGCCGCCACGTCGGTTTCTGCGGCCTGCGTTGTTCGCACGTCCTTGTGTGTTCTCGGAAGTATAGGTTTTTGCAGGCGATTGCTTTTTAGATTAAGATACATGTCTTTCAAATTTTAATATACACCGATTAAAGAAGAAAGCTATCAAGTAAAAACAATATATATATATAGTATTTGATCAATAAAATCAAGGGTTATCGCAAAAAACCTTAAACTGGTACACATGTGACAAATTTACCCGGCCCAAACTAACTTTTTGACTACGAAAAATCCTAAACTGATACATTTGTAACAAATTTACGCTCTGTTAGTTTCCGTTAAATTGGATTAATACCACGAAAAATCACAAACCGATATACTTATGACAAACGGAGGGTAAAACCCCAAATTGCTCCATCCATCAACTGTCACATCATTTAACTCAGTAATTTGACGGTAAAATTTAACGGAAACTAACCAAAGTAAACTTGTCATGGGTGTTATAATTTAGGGTTTGGGGTAAATTTATCATAAGTGTACCGATTGGTATTGACCCAAATATCAAATACAGTATGAAAATTAACAACAAAGCTTGCGTTTGTATTAAGAACTCTGTGTCGATTTCATGGTCATGGAGCATTGGCCTATATGATTGGATAGATCTAGCGCTTTTATTATAATTTTTTCGAGGCAGCGTGAACTTTAACCCTGACTTAGTCGTGCTCCCCATCTGTGTGTTTTGGAGGATAAGGGGTGGGCGCAAACATTTACCTCCCGATTCGTCGTTTCGGCCGTCCTCGGCCTATTCATCTCCGTCATTTTCTTTATAAAGCATTCCGACCGGTCGATCTTTAGGGCGGAATCCCACGTTATCAAAACCGAGTCCAAAGGAAGTAGTTTGATTTCCCTCGTTCGAGATCTGGGCTCGATTCCTCTGCACGTCGCCATGCCAAGAGCAAGAATCCAACCTGTACGAGACAAGATCGTCGGGATACGACCGTGGGAGAATCTTGTCTGCTCTGCCCGTAGATTATATCCCGCACGAAGCCTCACGTTCCCCTTTGGGTTGTAATGTAAAGTTTTATAGAAGGTTGCTGGTACGATACCAGACCATCCCTATTTTGGCTGAAATTCATTGTGGAGTGACGTTAAGAGATGCAAAGGCCGGTTTGCGATATGATCTGATCCAATCCATGTTGAGTGTCTGGTGCAATTCACTTATATGCTCACTCGACATTTGTCACATCGATTTGAATGATGAAGTCTTGTGATTTTAATGTTCTAATCATCTAAGTTTAGCAATGACTATAACATAAGAATCCAATTACTGAATATTAATTGTCTATTTATAAATGTAGGAAAATTGTCTAAAAAGTCCTAAATCTGTTATACGACAGTCAATTCAGTCATAAACTTTTCAATCTGGCTAATTTAGTTCTAAACATTTTAACAATTTGCCAATGTAGCCATTCCGTCCAATTTTGGCTAAAAATCGCTAACATGGATGCCAGTGATTTCCACATCGACAATTTCCGATCGAAATTGGCTGGATGGAATGTATTGGAAGATCGTCAAAAAGTTTATGACCAAATTGGAGATTTTAGGACTGAATTGGCCACTATACTATAGGTTTGTGATTTTTTGGACAATTATACCTTATGAATGCATAAATTACTATGGATTAATACTACAAAAATCTCAAATTGGTACACTCGTGCTGCATTTATCTCGAATTGAATTTTGTCACAAAAAATCACAAATTGTTGCACTTGTGCCACATTTACTCTAAACTAATTTTCCTACCACCAAAATCCCAAATTTGTTCACCCATACCATATTTACCCCAAATTAATTTTCGCGTCATAATAAATTATGGATTTTAGCGAATTTTCAAAACTTGAGAGAGCTCTTAGGGAAAAATTAGCAAATTTTAGCATATTTCTCAATCTAAGATTTTGGATTTTTTATGATACAAAAATTAGTTTGGGGTAAATATCATATCGAAGTACCACTTTAGGAGTTTTGTGATGCGAAAGTTAGTTTAATATAAATGTGACACGAGTGTACCAATTTGGAATTTTGGTGGTATTAGCCCTTGAAATTATAATTAGATAATGTATTATCGAACTATGCTACCATTAATATTGGAAATTAAAAAAATATTTTGTATTAATTTTTAATATTTTTTTATTATATCATAAACGATCTAATCATAGTAATTGAATAATAGCTATAGAGTAATTAGACCATCGGTAAATAATAACAACATAATTATTTGATTATAAAAATCATTAGATATTTTATATTTTTTAATAATTATTTCATTATTTAATCGTTACTAATGATGTGATAATGATTGATTATATTAAATTCACTATTAGGAATTAATAAAAATTATTGTGCACAAATTGTAATATCCTTTCATTTATTGATTTCTAAGATTACGATAATGGAAGAAATTAGGCCTCAACTATCTATCTTTAAAGGCTATTATGTGAATTCTCATAATTTATTCCTAACTTATTTCCCCAAGTATATTGATAAACTATTCTATTTCTGTCTTTATCTTTTACGTGTGTTAGTATGTACTAAGGACTGGAAATGCTAGTGTTACGGGCTGTGTCCAGACAGATTTTATGGGCTCTGTGTTGCACGAACTTGGGTTGGGTTCTACAAATTTTGACGATTTGGTACTTTGTGATTAAGCATCGCTATAACTACAAACTTTACACATCCAGAAAGTAAGAAAAATTCACTAAACTGAGGAATCAAAAACAAAACAAAGAAAAAGAGACCCGCCAAGACATGGAGAGCCTGAAATTATTTTGACATAAGAAACTTATTATTCACAAAATGCTCTTTCTATCAAATGCTATCAACGGAAGAGGTGAGTTTCTCACATAACAAACGTGAATAAATTTGGTAATAATTATATAGAAAAGTTAGTAATTTCAAACGAGAGCAGGTAACTCTTATAAAGGATGGAAATTTCATATAAAAGTTGACAACTTTAGTGGAGGTAGTTAAATTTAAAGCAAAGTTGGTCATTTGAAAATAACCTAATCCATGTTGATAGTCCTGTCAAATAGGCGGCTTTGGTTGGAATTGGGTCGAGTCGAAAATGGCATGACCCAAATCGACCATATTATTTTATATTGATCCATTTTTATGCAATACAATTTCAGGGACCCATATCCGGATTTAATCAGGAATCAACCCAACCCGGGTTTTAATCTTAGCAATTTTTCTCCTTTAAATTATTAGTTCTAAAGAATAGCGACTCCATGGCCCACTCGTTGAGTTAGTAAGGGAGCTCAAGTGCTCGGGTCGGGTTGTGAACTATGATTTCACGTGGCTTATGAGCAACGTGGAGACGTAGGTGAGCGTCACGCTGATGAACAAGCACATCTGTGTGGATATGTTTGTGGATCTGGTTATGGATGGGGGCGTGAAGGTGAAAGGGGGGGGTCGATCTTGCCTGACTAAGGAAAGTCTTCTTCCAAATGTCCATTCAATTACAGAATGCAAACACATTAAATTTTGAGTTGTTATACACTGAGCATCCCCGTATCAATGTTGCATCCTCGACATTAAGGAGTTCCTATGATGAATAAACTCCCAAAACCTCAGCAAATGAATGAAATTGCAAAGATAATGACTATACTGACAATTAAAAAATCTTCAATCAACGAAAGTTGTATAAATATTAAAAAATTGAAGCAATTGTGAGATCTAAATGACGGGGAGAAACAGTGAACTATTTCCTTTACTTCAATAACCCCACCATTTTATTTATACATTATTTCCTACCATTACCTTTTTCTCGTTTCATTTTATCAAAGTTTGACCCTTGTGAAGAAAGTGAACCGAAGGTGCGTGCTGATAGCTAAATTGAATCCACAAAAACTCATTCAAGTACAGATGACACCAGCAATGATATCAATGGCAATACCCCCATCATAGTCATAACTGGGCTAAGCATCTATATCCCTCTACAGAGCAATGTACCAAGCAGAGCATTACTTCTGGATCAAATGGACAATAACTTCACTTCAAAGATTTCGACATCCCTCGAAGCAATGCTTAACAATAAATCTAATAGTTCGAATAATGCTGTCGACGAAAGGAGCAGACCGAGGATGCGGCGTAGAATTTCTTGATCATCACCTGGATTTAATGAAAATAATTACAGTGGAAAAATTGGAATTAAACTCTTGCCTTCAGTCACCAGCTGAATAATGGTGTCTTCAGTTGCCGGTTTTTCCGTTGCAGAAAAGATTTCCACTTTCACAATGTTCCAGTTTGCACTAAAAAAATCGAGAGATTACATGAAACTGTGTATGCAAATGCATGTAAGTTAAATAACATTGAAAACATACTCGATAGATTCACCAGCGACGGATTGACGTCGTTTAGAGGTGCGCAAAGCTAGATCAACCAGAAAAGCAGGGAGACCAGTGACGGCGGAGACAGATGAGCTGCTCTCCTCAGAGGGCCACCGGAGATGGCGGCGGCAAAACCGATCAGTTGGGATCAAAGAGGAGAGAGAAGCTCGCAAGTCACAATCGATGACATCGAAAAGGGAGGGAGAGAAGAGACTTGCGAAGAAGAAGAAAAGCCTAAGACCTGTTTGTCAAGGGGGTCAAAAGTGGGTTTATACCAGACTCATTAAAACCCATATTTTGGGCTTTACACTTTAGAATCCATTATGACTTATATTTCAAATTTGAGGTGGCCTATTCATAACCTACTTCAACAAATTTGGGATAGAATATAGTTTTGTGACCCATTTTGATAGTTCTGCGTAGTGGGAAAAATTATTAAAATAGTCCTAAACCTATTGTACTTGTGCTAATTCAATCCTGAATCTTTTGCATTCGTGCCAATTTAGTCCATCCGGCCGA